GTTACTTTTGCATCAGACACCCTGTATATGTATATAGCATGTAATGATATCATGTCTATAACATTAATGTGTTTATAATTATAAGTTTATAATTACAGTATTTGGTTATTCATGTGCACTCGGTGTACTGTTGAACGCATATCTCCCTGTTATCCTCGATTCCATAGCTCCACTAAACTTTTCTCGCATACGAAAACTTCCGATCGATGTAGAATATTTTGTTGATGAACAGGAATACTTTTATGTTTTATTCTATCATGTATATATAACGTTGATTTTTGGCATTACTATAGTCTTAGCTACGGAATCGCTTTACGTAACGTACGTTATTCATACTTGTGGGATGTTTAAAATTGCCAGGTGAGTAATAAAGTATAAAGAACATTTTGAAAAAAAAATTTTTTTATTAGCTCACTTTAGAGTTTTTAATACCTATTACTCTTAACTTTTTATTTCTCTTATTTCTTTTAACAACAGTCATCGATTGCATGTTTACGAAAAAGATGTTCTACAAATCTCTCCTTCCGTAAAAAATTTAGTGATCCATACGAAATTAGTTGCAGCAATAGAGATGCACAAAAGAGCTCTCAAGTTGGTATATGCACAGTTTGAAATTTCTAACAAATTATGTTTGTATATTTTACATTAAGCAATTTTACTGTTGAAGGTTTAAGGACATTTTATGGTCTACATTAGCAAAGTCCTATTTTATTATGTTATCAATCGGAGTGGTATCGCTAACTGTTAATTTATTTCGTGTGAGTAATTATTATAATACTGATAAAAGTTGAGTAATATGATTAATAAGACATTTTTATATACGTATAATTGTTTTATTTAAAACACGATGGTCTTTTCATGTACTATAGATTTTTCAAGCAATTGTCATAATAAGAAATGTCGAAGAGTTACTAACATCCAGCGTATCTACAATTGCCCATTTCGTTTACATATTTGCCGGCAATTATGCTGGCCAAGTTGTCATAGATCATAGTTTAGAGGTTTATGAAAATGTGTGAGTACAAATACAAAATATTGTTCTTATAAATAGAGATTTTAATAGTATATTTCTTTTATTTTATTGAGATATTCTCTTCTTTCTTCTTAGAGAGAGAGGGGGGAGGGGAGAGTGAGAGAGTTGGAGAGGGGAAGGGAGGGAGGGAGGGAGAGCATTCATAAGAATATCCATCAATATATCTTTTAAGAAATAGAAGATCAGTAATCGAATGTTTTGCGAATAACTTTTTTGTTTAAGATTATCAAACTAGTTGTATCATTAATATACTGGGTGTCATGTAATACCCGCATCATCTCTTATTTATGGATAGAGCGAACTAGAGTGAGTCGAAAAGTCCTCTACCATTTTGCAATTTTCGCAATAGTTAACGAGTTATTAATTATTAAAAGTTGCTGTCTTCGCCCGGCCTACCGCCCAATTCAAACGCACGGCGAGATACGGCCGTCCCATGATCGGCGTTGCTAGGCGCGCGGGGAGTTGTTCATTATACGTAGCCGTTGCCGTGTGTCATGGTAGAGGACTTTTCGACTTATTGTTAGTCTAGTCCGCTCTATTCGTAAGTAAGAGGTGAGACGGGTATTACATAACACCCTGTACATTGAAAGACTACTGCGAATAAATAATAGTGCGCCAATGGTAAATGTAATAATTATAAATATCTGTAATATAAACTATAAATTATAAATCTTAAATTGCAGATGTGATTCTCGATGGTACCACGTACCTGTTCGACAGCAAAAATTAATTTTACTCATTCTGCATCGCAGCATGCACAGTTGCAAACTGGTCACCGGTGGCACTTTCGTTTTATCGTTAGAAGGATTTGCATCGGTAATCGATGAAGATCATTTAAAATATTAAGTGATTTTCGACAGTAACAATAATGTCTTATTGCAGCTTCTCGCTACTTCAGTATCGTATTTCACAGTACTAACATCTGTCCAGCATTAACAGTGGCAACCGTAAGAATAATTGCGTTTATAGACCACGTTAATTTATTATATCTAATAATCATATACTAATCTGCTGGCGTTGTCTATAATTACTGTATATGATTTGACTATTTCCTCACATTTTCTTGCCATCAAAAGATGATAAGTGATATTTTAATCGATCTAATTCAAATTTAATCGATGATTAATTATGTTACAATATAATTCGAAATAATGTGATTTTTAATTTATCTGAATTTGTCTGAATTAATTTATCTAATTTGTCTGAAAAGTTGTATTAAAAATACAATCATAACATCTTTTACTATATTATCTTAACTAAAACCACATGAACTATTATTTTAAACAAAAAATAATTTTATTTTTACCTACATTTTCACATATTGTAAATTTTTTTGATTATGCATTTCAACTGCTCTATTGAAAATATGATAATGAAAAATATTTTATTGTATAAGATTTTCTGATTTATTATTTTCGGGAAGCATCAATTGTTTCATCGTAAGTAGTGGAATATTTAAGTATGTGCGGGCATTATGACTAAACAAATAAAAACTTTTTGAATAAAATATGTGTAGATTCTGTAGATTTTATCATTAAAAAATGTTGTCAAAGTTTAAAGATGTTTAGAAAGATTATTACCGAAAAAATTAGATAATAAAATTATATATCTTATAGCAAATAGGGGTAAAATAATTATATTTCAATGAAAATAATGAAACAGATATGAAATTTTGCAAGCAGAACGAGTGAGACTGCATAATTATCCATACCAATTTTATTAAGGCACTAGTTGTTTTGTTTAATAATGTTTCCGAAAAATCTGTACATATGTGTACCGAAAAGTGGCAACGTTGCAAGATCACAGTCGTGGCCTCAAGTTTGAAAATGTTGTTGAAATGTACTTAACTTTACAATTCATGTAAATTTGTGAAAAATGTGAAATAAAAAAATAATCACCTCTTGAGACTGATTTTACATAAACATTTAACTTTTAAAAAGGAAAATTATATGTACTGCCTGAACATCCATAAAGCATGGTATTTTATATAATTGTAAACTTTTACAAATTTCTAGAAAACATTTATTATATCCCGAGGTATCAATTTTTTCATATAATTCATACGCTGTGGCTTATAGTTGTCACAGCAAATAATGACGAAAACCGAACTTTCGGAGTCTATTACGTCTTTTTTCGTAGTAGCCGTGCATATTATAGCTTTTGCTGTAGGTAATTATGCTGGCCAAGAATTTATTAATTGTGATACGCATGTCTATCGTACGATGTAAGTTACACCACTACGCTATTATTGTATTTTGTCACAATACTTTCTGTTTTTTATATCATGCAATTTATATACATATTAAAAATTTGTATGTACATACACGCAAAGGAGATATTGTATGCACAACATCAATTGAACATAAAAGATAATTTAACACTCACTGATACGAGTCGCAATAGCAGAGTTGCGGCATAATTAACTGGTATAGGTTCAACTGTAAAAGTAAAAAATATGTATATGATTATTACAGAATAATTACATAAATTCAAAATTATTGTATTAAATATTTTATATCTTTTAAAATAGCTATTTATTAAAATACTTAGAGAATATTCAAAAAAAGTCTTTCTTTTAAATATAAACTCACAAAATTTTATACGAATGTCTTTGTCTGTAACACTTATTCGAACCCTCGTTCGAATCATTTAAATAAATAAAACAAAAGCAAGAGAACAGACGCTTCATTTTGCACAAGTAGCAAATATAAAAATGTAAAACACTCACCTTACGATTGCTTCGCCGTTGCCCGATGCCTTCCAAGCCTCCTCCTCCTCTCAGATTTCCGTGTTGCACTCACACTACACACACTCGCGAAAATCATCGATCGCACGAAATTTCGGACACTCCCGTACGCGATGTGAAATACCGTGAAACGCACGAAATATTATTAACAAATCGCGTGACTTTATCATACAAATTACTCAAACTAACAACTTGCATTTTTTATTCGAAAAGATAATGGATAAGTCACTTTTAAATTAGCGATATAAAACGCGAGCATCGGAATCCAAGCATAATCTGCGGTAAAGAAGTAGTTATTAGTCCGCAACGAAACGATATTTTATAATCTTTATTGCCATTCAATCTAATCCTCGAAATGATTTACGTGAGCGAAACCTCCAGCGATAAATATTTGTTAGTAATTGCAACAGTTAATCGAGATGATTTTCCATTACATTTACATAATGTAACGACGCGCAATAAGCGACTTTCTCTACTTCCTGCCCGTTCGAGTTGCGAAGAACGACAGAGCAAACTACACCGCAAATGCCACAGTCACACAAATGTCTCTTTCTTTTTCCGAAAGTGGAACAGAATACACGAAATCGACAGATAATTAAAAACGCGGTGCGTAATTGAAATGTAATCGCGACAAAGTGCCACGGTTTACATTCATATTCATTTTAGATGAGTTAATCTCGTAAAATCTACGTTGATAAAAGCCGTCACTTGACCGTGCAAATCATTTTTCATTGCAAGTTATAGAAACTTAATAATTAGTCGATGAATGTTACTTCTTACTAATAAACGTGTACAAATCAACAGCGTTTTATCACGAGATTTATCGCGATCGAGTTTTGGAAACCGATAATGCAAAAGTAATACGACACACGGAGCGACTCTCGCCACTGCCTGCCGGCTCGACGTTCGGCGAGCGAATGAGAGCGTGGCCGACCTTCAGGTACACGATGGCACGCAAAAACATCGTACGTCATAGCGCCGAGAGAAAAACAACAACGAACGTTGAGAATTCGTTGCCCCGCCTACGAAATTGAAAATTCTATACCTAATGTGTATGAAATTCCGTGATAAAGCAAGGATCAAGCTTGGCTGTGAGAATGAAAAGGAAACTAATTCTTTGCAACTACAGAGCAGCATTTTTTACTGAACAATTTAAGTTTCTCGTAGTTGAAATGATCATAAGAAATATTGTCCGGCGGGTACCCTCTCGCATCTGTAAGAAATCGCACTCGATTCAATATTTTGTGTATTAGTTCGCGCTTTTAACTTACAATTAGAAGCAGCCAACAAATTATGCTCGAAGCGACGAGAGATTCAATGCAACAATACGAGATGTATCCGAATACGAACATCATTTAAAGAAACAATTATCGTCTTGCCGGTTAACCGAGCATCGAGATAGCGAATCGCGAGGATTCAGCGATCACACAATGATATCGATCGCTGATTATTCACAGAGAGCGATCGCGGTTTCTTCCTGCACTTCTTAGAACATATTTTTCGTAATACATTTCTGTCAGATCTGGTAGAATAATATTACTTGTCTTTTATATTTTTACTCTGCAGTACATATTGAAACACAACGAGATTACGATATCAGTGTCAAATAGAATTTTCGATGTAAAATAATTGATGAACGCAAAACATTTCAATCACGATGCATCATCCACTATCTGATGCGTAATATTGCCGCGATAAAGTAACACTGCAGTGTATGTCGCGTTTTCGCCTACCACAAGAATAAAAACGCAGAAAATAGTAACACGTACTGTGTACACAGAAAATTATGATAAGTGCATTTATTACTTATCACCATTACCTGTAATAAAAAACTATTATATAATATCTGTAGATAAATAGATATAGTTCTTTTCTGGACTTGCGCAGTTTCTACTTTCCTCTTATTATCTTATATCTACTTACATAATGCAAACATTTAAAAAGCTCTCTCTCTCTAAACGCATTATATTATCTTCTATCTAAAATTATATTATTATCAAAGGTATTTTACAGAAAAGTCTAAGAAATAAAAAAGTCATTGGGAAAATTGATGTAAGAGAGAAAAGTTGTTATAGACAATAATAGCCATGAGCTCACAGTAATGTTTGAACTGTCGTGTGAAATGGAGTTTCCAGAAGATCAGTATTTTAAACTAAATCGTGTTTTGCTATCAATAATTGGTCTTTGGCCATATGATGATTTCAAAGCCAGACATTTTCGTTTCATATTATCCTTACTAATAATGTTATCATTTACAAGTGTTCAGGTATCTATATAATTATTTAATTTACATGTTTAACGTACGAATTTTATGACGTAGGTCTTTTGTACTTGTATCAAGGTTACAATGATATTGTACTATAGTGATATTATGTTATGAATTTTTATTTTTATGTTATCAAACATTATAGTAACATACGTATACGCATATACATATATGAGTTTTTTCATAGTATGTAATATAATATATGTCGATAAATCATTGTGTATTATAATCTTTTCAGTTCATAAGATTATTTGTCATAGAATATAGCACTGATCTTTTGCTGAATGTATTTACTTACAATATCATTTTCATAATAATATATGTGAAATACATCACATTTTACGCTGTGTTAAGTAATGTAAGTCCAAGAACAATTTGAATGCATATATTATTATATAACAATAATACTTATTATATTTACTAGTAGATTAAAAAAATTCGAGAACGTGTTCGAAATAACTGGAATGCTTTGAAAGATAATCGAGAAATTGAGATAATATGTAAACACGAAAACATCGCAAAGTTATTAACAATGTTCATAATAGGTATCAAACAAATAGTTAATTATTAGATTACGATTAGATGACAAAAACAATTGTATAATAATTATTAATACTAAATTATTAAAATGTTACCTAAAAATAAGAGAATCATCCTTTATCATTTTAACATAATATTGTACTGATATGTATGTATATAAATATTTATATTTTTATATTTTAAAAGTTTAGAGAAAAATAGTTAAAGATTTACTGGTCGTTACATGTTAAAATTACTACATATAATAATTTACGTTCCATTAAAACAATCTTAATTTTAAATTGTTTGAGAAATGCATAAGCTGAAGATGTGTACAATGCACGCACGCACATACGCACAAACGCCCATATGCACACATATGCATATACACATATTTAACATTGATTAAGCGATAAAATATTAAGACACGCCCGCCTAAAGTGAAGGGAGGTCCAGGTTCAAACCCTGGCTGAGATAATATTTTTCACAATAAATTTTATGTGTTGAAGAACACATTGCCAGTTGGTCGATTACAAGCTTAATCATTGTTAGTCATTTACTGGGGTCAAATAATTCTCGATGTTACATATTTAACATGTTTCATTCGACAATACATCTTACTGTCCCAAATATGAAAAACGATTTTCTAATTTCTAACCCCGGTTTTCACCAACGTCACTTTGATCTTAGGTTAATTTATTCTTTGTCTCTTTCTAAACTTAGAAAAAGACAAAGAATGAATTAAGCTAAATGTAAGATCGAAGTTTAAAGTGTACTCTAAAATTTGTTATTTTTTTGCGATTAGAAACATTCTGTTTTATATAAGCAAATTAATTGATAAGTAAACATTTAATGTTATTCGTCATAAATTTATTCTAATTAAATTTAATACAACTCATATAACAAATAATTCTAGAATTTATCCATAAAAAGGTAAGTCAATTTTATAATTGAATCAATGGTTCTTTCCTCGTTCCAGCTATAGGCTATTCCACAGTTTTCTTATTCATCTGTATACAATCCAGCTCAATCGTACTCGATATCGTAATACCTTTAAATGATTCTCGTCCGCGCGAACTTCTACTTCCTGCGGAATATTTTATCGATCAGCAGAAATACTTTTATATCATAACGATACACGCACTAGTGGGAGTAATTTTTCTAACGATCAGTATTATGGCTACTGAGTCTTTCTCATTAGCAAACGCATTACACGCTTTCGGTTTATTTAGAATTGCTAGGTAAATACCTCAGTTTGTGTCTAAGTTTACTTTGTAAAATATTATTATTTCATAATAATAGTAGTGCTTTTTTATTTATCTGTAGTTGTGTGTACGTGTATTATACACGGGGTGTCCCATTTTAACTTGGACAGTAAAATATCTCAAAAACTAAGCCCAGTAAACAGAAATGTTTCAGACTAAAGTTGTATGGTTTCGAGGGGGACATAAGATTGTGTCATTAATTTGACCTTGAATAGTTGCTTGAAAGTCACGTGAAGGTCACCTACAATTTTTTTAATGAAATCCCCTATCGTTTATTACATTATTACATTATTCTCTCTACTAATTAATATGAACAACTTTTGTCTGAAACATTTTTTTATTTGCCTAATATTTTTTGAGATATTTTTTGAGATAAGAGAAAATTTATAACCTTTCCAATATTTAGCTTATGATATCTCGATAACTGTTTGTCGGAAGAAAAGGTAGTACAAAACTTTTTTAATTAATTTAGTCTCAGGAATATGCTGTTGCAATAGTGTTCCAAGTATTGAAAATTTTTGTGTATTGTAAAATTTATTGCGACAAATATTACCACATGTCTCAGTGGTCGAATTGGTGAGACGCCCGCCTAGAGTGTAGGGAGGTGCTGGTACAAACCCTGACTGAGGTAATAGTTTTCGCAATAAATTTTCTGTATTATTAAAAATGCCAGATATGGCCAAGAACACACTGACGTTATTTCTAAATTATTTGTTATATTTATTTGCTTACATTAGATCAATTATTTGTAAATGAGTTAGATTTGGATTTTTATTCAATTTGTAATTTGATCTTATTATTTACACTTTTTTATTATTTTTATTTTTCAACATGCAATTATTATTTAATATAATTTTATGACTATGGAGTGTATTGAATAATTGTATATGATATTTATTCAATAAATACTTCCATATACTATGTTACGTGCATTAATTTTGCAATTGAATGTTTCTAGTTATCGTATGAAAAATATATTGAGTGGAATTAATCTGACAGACATGTGCGTAACTAAAAGATATATGATATCTCACAACAGAATAACTGCTGCGGTTGACTTCCACAAAAGAGCGATCGAGTTAGTATCTCAAACAAGATATGTTAGTGTATTATCACTGAAAACAGTTATAAGTATAGTACTGTATTATTCAGTGTTTACCAAATACTGTTTTACAAATTTTTGCATTTCATCTGATGTATTGAAAATATAATAACGAAAAATATTTCATTGTATAAGATTTTCTGATTTATTGAAAGTTAGTTTTGGGCCAGTGTATTTAATTATGGTTGCGCTGTTATTACTTTCGACAAGCATCAATTTTTTCAACGTAAGTAATGGAATATTTAAGTATATGCGGGCATTATGACTAAACTAATAAAAACTTTTTGAATAAAATATATGTAGATTCTGTAGATTTTATCATTAAAAAATGTTGTCAAAGTTTGAGGCTGTTTAAAAAGTTTATTACTAAAAGAATTAATAATAAAATTATATATCTTATGGAAAATAGGGGAAAAATTATTATATTTCAGTGAAAATAATGAAAAATATATGAAATTTTGTAAGCAGAACGAGTGAGACATAATTATCCATACCAATTTTATTAAGACACTCGTTGTTTTATTTAATGTTTCCGAAAAAATTTGTACATATGTGTACCAAAAGTGGCAACGTTGCAACATCACAGTCGTGGCTTCAAGTTTGAAAATATGTTGTTGAAGTACACTTAACTTTACAATTCGTGTAAATCTGTGAAAAATGTGAAATAAAACAAGTAATTAACTTTTGAAACTAATTGTACCTAAACACTTAACTTTTAAGAAGTAAAATACATCTGTGGGTACTGCCCGAACATCCATGAAGCATGTTATTTTATTTAATTGTAAACTTTTACAAATTTCTTGAAAACATTTATTACATATGTATATCCCGAAGCATCATTTTTTTATATAATTGATACGCTGTTGGTTACAGTTATTACAGCAAATAATGACGAAAACCGAACTTGTGGAGTCATTTCTGTCTTTCTTCATAGTAGCCGTGCATATTATAGCTTTCGCTCTAGGTAATTATGCTGGCCAAGAATTTATTAATTGTGACACGCATGTCTATCGTACAATGTAAGTTACACAACTACGCTATTATTATATTTTGTCACAATACTTAATATTTTTTATATCATGCTATTGTAATTATGTGATGTTTAAATATACAAATTGTTAATGTGATTTTATTTGTGACTATATACATATAGATGTGATATAAAATGGTACAATGCTCCATTAAAAATACAAAAACTGATACTCTTTTTAATACAAAAGACTACAAAATGTTATAAGGTTGATGCTGCTGGCATGTTTTATCCCTCTTTAGAAGGTTTTACTGCGGTAAGAAATCTTACTACATTAACGTATGCTGGTATGTATGTATGTACACGTCAGTGTATGTGTGCGCGCGCTTGTTCGTGTGTGTATGTGTGAACAAACCGTAATACACGCACATTGTATATATACATATATACACACACACATACATACATAGTAATCAATCACCGTATGAAATAGTTTAAAAAATATCTTCTGTTTTAGGGTATGAGTACGGCGCTATCTTATACCATGGTTTTCCTATCCGTGTACTTTTCTTAGTTCAAACTATGAAAAACTTTTAGAAAAATAGGTATTCAAGTAATACAGTTAGCAATACAATTAATAAATTACCAAACAGAATTTTGATTAAGATAGCTGTTTCATGATTTTTAAATTATATAATTTTACCATTTCAGTTGACTGTAGTAAAATCTATCATGTGTAACTCTTTTTCTAATACAAGTAATAAATCATTAAAATTGTGATATTATGAGCAGATATGTATTTATTAAAAAAACTACTATGTTTTACTATTTTTAAGTGCAGCCTACTATGTAAACTTAATCTTGTGGTTTAATTACGTATGATCTGATTATTAGTTTTACTTTCAAAAATTATTCTCCAATAAAAAGCAATCACGAATGGTAGATATATGTATAATGGCAGATATAATTTTGCAATTTTCGTATCGACACTCATTACGTTTTCTTACTACTGTCATAAAATAATTGAAACCAAGCCTTATAAAATGTGTTCTTTACTATTTCTTTTAATACGTCTCAATGGTTCAACTTTTGACGTACTAAAAACGACTTGATTAATTCCTCACCAGGAAACGTTAAATAATATAACTTTAAGTGAAACTAGCATCCTTGCCCAGATTCGCTCGGGCCTACCTTTTTTGGAATCTCCTCTTTTTGGACGTTTCATTATTTCTTATTCATATATTTTATTTCACTCTGTTCTTGAATAATTATACATGTATCACGCCTCTCGAATTCACTTTCAAACATGACAATTGCAACCTCATTAATAATTATTATACAATTATTAAAAGGAATTTCGTGTTTTCTAACTGATTTCTTATCCGCTCGAGTAACAACTTTATATTCATCCGTAGGCATTCTTTTCAACGCCGTTTTTTTGAACATAATTACTAAATTATTATATTGATGCACAAATCTTTGTAAATTTAAAACAATACAGCGTTGATTGGCCTCTTCTTATTCATTTCCCATGAAGTAAAAATAAACAGTAAAAATCTTTCTAGTATTAGATTCAGTACAGTCTATATTGGAAATCACAGTGCGTTACTTTTATACACATATACATATACATGTAATATAAAAAAAACGTTGGACAAACGCAGAATTAGATAATGCTTTGTACTAGTACTGTACATTTTATTGATTCTCCTTAGGGTTACAAGGCGTTTTTGAAGGAACGTGCCCAAACCCCTCTTATAACACCTCTCTCTATATCCACTTCGTTATGTGGCGATCGAACGAGAAACCAACAACGTTTTTGTTTGGTTTTGAACCCGGGTCTTCGGATTACCAGACCAGCGCACAATCCTCTGCGCCACGATCGCCACATACGTACGTAATATGGTGAAGCACTTTATACGCTTCTTTCCGTTTAAAACCACAACATATGACTTAACATACGTTACTTTACACATTTCTAGCCATTTGAAAAGATAATTTTTAAACTTAGAACATATTTTTCGTAAAACTTCCCTTAGTTTTAGTAAAATAATATTATTTATCTTTTGTATGATTACTTTGCAATACGTGAATGACAAAAATTCTGAAAACAGTATCAAACAGTATCCAATTTTCAATGTAAGGTAATTCATAAACGCGAAACATTTCAATCACAATGCATCTTCCACTATCTGATGCATAATATCAGCCTCGATAAAGTAGCACTACACTGTATGTCGCCTTTTCGTCCGCCACAAGAATAAAGATGCAGAAAATAGTAATATATACTTTACACAGAAAATTATAACAATTTATTTATTACCCCCATTATCTTTAATAGGAACTATATCTATAAGTAGATGTAGTTCTTTTCTGGACTTGCGCATTTTCTCGTTTCGTCTTATTATCTTATCTCCACTTACATAATACAAGTATTTAAATTTAAAGCATTCTTAACATACATTAAATTATTTTCTATCTGAAATTGTATTATTATCAAGCACACATTGTATTATTATCACAATTGTATTATTATCAAGTTACAGAAAACCTAAAGAAATAAAAAAATACTGGGAAAATTGAAATAAGAGAGAAAAGTTGTTATAGACAATACTAGCCATGAGCTCACAGTAATGTTTGAACTGTCGTGTGAAATGGAGTTTCCGGAAGATCAGTATTTTAAAATAAATCGTGTTTTGCTATCATTAGTTGGCCTTTGGCCATATGAAGATTTAAAAGTCAGGCATTTTCGTTTCATATTATCTGTACTAATAATGATAACGTTTATAGGTACTCAGGTATCTGTACAATTAATTAATTGATTTTTTTAATAATTTTATATGACGTAAATCTTTTCATATAATTTCGTTTTGTTTTATTTTATTGTACTACACAGTCAAGAAACTTCGTGTAAATTTACAACTAATTTTGTGAGTATTGCATTCATATTGCAATCATATATTGAAGTTGTATATTTACATACATCAGTATATAAATTCATATTTTATAGATAAAATTAATATGTCATATAACAAGTATACAACTTATGAAATAAGTAAACTCGCTTTTAATTTTATAATTTTTGTAATTTTTTATAATTTCTCGTCAAATATAAACAATTATTTACATAGCCAGAATAACAAAACTATTTTTTATAAAATTACATGAATTTATACATTTTTATTATTGTGTAATTTTTATACTCGCTACTTATCTAAAGGACCCCGCACTTTTTCTATGTATGGTAAAATAGGTCCCAACCGATCTTCTCCAAGTTCCGTGTACAATTACATATACCATTATAAGTAGATCAACCATAAAAAAATTTTTTATCAATCATAATGTTTGCAGCTGTTAAAATTATTTATCTCGGAATATAACTTTGACCTTGTTTTAAATATTGTTTCTTATAACATAATTTTCATAATTTTTTCTGCAAAATATGTCTTATTTTATGCCATCTTTAAAAATGTAAGTCCGAAAGCAATTAAAGTGGAAATAAATTATTGTATAACAGTAATACGTATTATATTTATTAGTAGATTAAAGAATTCCGGGAACGCCTTCGAAATAATTGGGATGCTTTGAAAGATAAGGAAGAAATCGAGATAATATGTAAACATGGAAACACCGGAAAATTATTTACAATATTTATAGCAGGTATGTATCTCTCTCGAACGAGTAGTTAATTATTAGATGAAAAAGTGTTACGCAATTAACTTAATAATATAGTTTGATCGTTTCAGTATTGGTCTATAGCATTTTGTTCCTATACATCTCCCAATATACAGGGTGCTACGCAAGACTTTGACGTCCGGTCATGGGAAGGTAGAGGGGACTAAGACAAACAGAAAAGTATTGTACTATTTTGCGCTTGGACGAATAGTTATCGAGATACGAAATTTTAAAAATCGCCGTATTAGCCCAACCTACTGGCGAATGTAAGCGCGCGGTGAGGTGACCGGCCTAGCGGCCCCGCTCGGGGAG